TAAGATGCTAACTGGTTAGCCAGATGCTTCCCACAAACCGGCCACAACAAAACTAGCTTGCAAACCTTCCGCCACACAATCCCTGATAATCATCCAATCACATTCACTTTATTCACTCGTGAAAAGTCATGCACCACTCGGGAGAATTCGGAAATGCAAAAGTTGGAACAGCTGCTTCCCTACGACTTTAAAAACCAACAAATTATTCTATTTTTTACTGAAAAGCTAAATAAAAATGATGTTTTTTAGCTCCTGCACCGACCTGTTTTTCCTACTTTAAAATGGACCAATTAGGTTTTTATTTATGAGCTAAACATATAAAAGTAACGGAAAATACAAGAATCCTATAATTATTTAAATTTATGTAACTTTTTTATTAAATGGGAAAACTCCTGGAAGCTGCAGCGGTTGGTGTGTCCATGTAGGAACCTGCTGAACGCTGAGGAGGTGAACGTCTGGTTGATCAGTGCAGGTGGCCCGTCCATCCGGGACCAAACCACGCCCCCCGGGTGATGTTAGCGGGTTTTACGCCTTTTTTTTCCCCAGTATCTGCGTCGTCGTGGTCATCAGTTCATTCATTTATCATTGTTTATTTTCTAATCGAAGAAGAAACTCAACATTAGCCTGAAGGATCAATCCAAACTAATCGGTATCGCATTTCTGGAGCCGCTTAAACCGACCCGATCTTTAAAAAAATCACTAATTCATAGAGACTAGAGAACCGGATGGGCTGTGGCAGGAAGCAGGAGTACCCAGAGAGAGACACCACACAGGGAAACCCCCCGCCTGGACCGCTGCGGTTCTGATCTTTATGGTTTTTACCTTTTCTCTGTTGGGACTGAAGCCTGTTTGAAGGTTTAGATATTTAGTTTCCCTCTTTAGTAAAGAAAGCTGAGATCAAAGGATTAATTTGAGCCTTTAGTTTGGAGAAACGAGCCCTGATGTTCGGAGGAGTCCCGCCTCCTCCGTAGGAATGGCGTGGAACTGCTGACTGTACGGAAAATGACCAAGTGAAGCGAACGCATGCAGACTTACCTTCCCCCCGCCCTCTCTGACCTCCTCTCTCCTTCCCATCCAGGTATCCGTGTGCTGGTGGACGCTCGGGAGAAGCTGCACATCCCGTGGGGCGACCCTGACAACCAGCAGCATGGCGACAACCTGATGGCCTTCGACACCCGGTCGGCCAAGATGGCGACCGGGCAGCTAGACAAGGAGGTGTTCCTGCGCTACGCGACCGCCATTAAAGCCCTGTGGGCCGACTCGGGCATCCAGAACGCGTACGACCGGCGCAGGGAGTTTCAGCTGGTAGGTTTGACTCGCCTGGAGGGGAGATAACGGCGGCCATCTTTTCTTCTCTTTTCTTCATCTTTGTCTGACAACAGCTGAGCCGTGTCGCTGCATAGCATGTTCTTTATCAGGTGATCTCTGAGGTGTTTCAGGTGGTTTGACTCTGACTTCTGTGTTATATATATATATATATAATCCTGAAGAAGCGAAGGCTTTTATAAAATGGCAGATAGAAAAGAAAGTGAAACTGCTGTTTAATTCATCCTCCTCTGCTGCTTCCCTGCAAACGGCTCCGTTTCTGTCTGTTCTGCCCCGTTTTAAGCGGTCAGACATGTGATTCAGGCAGCTTCCTGTTTACACCTCTCCCTGCTCCTTATATCTCAAGCACATTTTCAAACTGTGACGTTTCCCACAGAGCGGCAGCTGTGGTCGAGGCTCGCGCGTCTTCCCCCTCCAGCGGGACCTTTAGCGCGGCGAGGACTTGAACAATCCTCTGCAGAACTAAAAACCTTTTTTTTTTTTTCTGCCTCTTTGTGAGACTTTACTAAAGGTCATGTGACATTGGGGGGGGGAGGCAAGAGAAGCACTTCTCCATGTTGCTTTCAGTAGTGAGCCAAACGTTGCGAGTTGCACAAGTTGGGACTGTTCTCTGTGGGATTTGGTTCTGCAGGGAATTGTGAGGATTTTTTTCGTTTTGTTTTTTCTGCAGGAAGGAGGAGGAATAAGTGTTGATCAGAGCAGGAATGTTGATCTGCTCTGCTGTTTTAAACGGCTTTACTCAGAGCCCAGCCTCTCGGACTCAGCGTTATTTACACACAAACACTGTGAGGGTAACATAAGCACAAAGACACACCTGCACCTTCAGGCCTTAAAGCCTTTACTTCACCTCATTAGTCCCTTTTTTAATAATTATCGACTATTTCCATAAAAGAAAATCACCTTCCTGCAATCCTGAATGTTTAACAGTTTGATAACATCGAATGCTGCTTTTTACTTTTATGTAGAGAAACTAAACCTGCTTTGACTTTAAAAAATGGTTTAATTTGAAGCAGAAATGTGTGTTTGGAGCTAAAAATCAAGCAAAGTTTGCAAAGACGGCTGGAAAGTCTAATCTTTTACGACCTACATGGGATTTAAGAGGGAAAGCAGCTGCTGTTTGAAGCACCTGATCGTTGGGAGCAGAGCTGCTTTTCCAGGCGTGTTTCTGTGGATCAGACAGAAACCAGCTTCAACTCGGAGACGCCGCTTTGGGTCAACTTTAATTTGGCATTTTTTTTAATTATTTCATTATTTTGAAGCTGTATGAAGGCTGAAACAATTCAATTAATTGTGATTAAATGATTATTGTAACAATCATCAACTAATTCAGTAATCAATAATCGTTAACGAGTACAGCGTGACCCACTGGAGCAGGAATTATACCCAATTGTAAAATTAAATATATAAACATTTTGCAAACATTTTTATTTTCCATCAATTTGCTCTATTTATTTGATAATTATTTATTATTTCAAAAACTAACCGAGTTAATTGATGAGCAAAATGATCGTTTGTAGCATCCCCTAGTATGAAATGTAGATGTTTGGAGGAAGCGATGCAGCTCAAACGCTCATGTTAACTGTTCAGCACGGTGGAGGAGGGGTGATGGTTTGGGCTTAGCAGCTGTAGATCCTTAGAGTCAAAATGTCTGCCATGAAGTTCCCCTTATAATTTGTCCTTTAGTCCGTTGAATCGTTTGGGTCAATGACCCGACAACAGATCTATACTAGAATCCAACCGACCCTTTGATAAAACCCCCGTTATATAAATAATAAATCTGGATGATTTTTACTGCATCTTCAGTATCGGAACAAATTCAGATCGACTAAATCAGTGGTTTAATATAACAGAGGAGGTGATTGGTTCCCGTGTCGATCCCCAAAGCTTTAACGATGTCCTCGGTTAACCCCCCCCCCCAACCTTTGGTGTGTCTATAGGCAGGTTTATGTCTTCAATCCAAGCAAGAAGTGTTAAGAAGATCAGCAACATGGAGCTCAATCTAGTGATAATCTTTTTAAACTTGTTGGAGTTTTTGCTGAACATAAAGGGTCTCCTTGAGTCCAGAAGTGAATCTTTCCTCTGGTCCAAATCTGCTTTTTCAGTGACAGAATCGGTGCCTGTTTCTCAATTCACTAGTACGGACTCGTGTTCTCGCCAATTATGTTCTTCAGAAGAACCCAGGAAAGTCTGGACTCGGGGAGAACGCAGCAGAAATATGGGTCGATAGGAACAGAAGCGTACTGATGACATCACCACATTCAAAGCTAGTCTGGAGCTGCATTTCCCTCTCTAGATAGTAATCAATTCCTACTTTTTTCATGAACACAGTCAGATAAACACAAATC